AATGGTAGCTTATGAGAGGTTTTTACAAAGTAGAAGTGTTATAAGAAGAGCAGAGTATATGGAGAGTAAAAGAAAGGTGAAGAGAGTGGTGAGAGAGTGCAAAAGGAGAGCAGATGATAGTGAGTGGGAGAGGCACTGTCAAGAAAGGTATTGGGTAGATGGTGGGAATATTTTGAGGAACTTTTAAATGTCAATGAAGAAAGGGAGGTGGTAATTTCATTCACTGGCCAGGGAGGTATAACATCTTATAGAAATGAAGAAGAGCAGGATGTGAGTGTGGGGGAGGTACGTGAGGCATTACGTAGAATGAAAGGAGGTAAAGCAGCTGGAACTGACAGGATCATGACAGAAATGTTAAATATAGGGGGGGGATATAGTGTTGGAGTGATAGGTATTTTTGTTTAATAAATGTATGAAAGAGGGGAAAGTACCTAGGGATTGGCAGAGAGTATGTATAGTTCCTTTATATAAAGGGAAGGGGGACAAAAAAGATTGTAAAAATTATAGGGGAATAAGTTTACTGAGTATACCAGGAAGTGTATGGTAGGGTTATTATTGAAAAAATTAGAGGTAAGACAGCAAGTAGGATTGCGGATGAGCAAGGAGGTTTTAGAGTGAGTAGGGGATGTATAGATCAAGTGTTTACATTGAAGCATATATGGGAACAGTATTTAGATAAAGGTAGGGAAGTTTTCATTGCATTTATGGATTTAGAAAAGGCATATGATAGAGTGGATAGGGAAGCAGATGTTGCAAGTGCAGTGGACCCCGGTTAACGATATTTTTTCACTCCATAAGTATGTTCAGGTGCCAGTACTGACCGAATTTATTCCCATAAGGAATATTGTGAAGTAGATTAGTCCATTTCAGACCCCCAAACTTACACATACAAATGCACTTACATAAATACACTTACATAATTGGTTGCATTCAGAGGTAATCGTTATGCGGGGGTCCACTGTATATGAAATAGGTAGTAAGTTAGTAAATGCTGTAAATAGTTTTTATGAGAATAGTGAGGCTCAGGTTAGGGTATGTAGAAGAGAGGGAGATTACTTCCCGGTAACAGTAGGTCTTAGACAGGGATGTGTAATGTCACCATCGTTGTTTAATATATTCATAGATGGGGTTGTAAAAGAAGTAAATGCTAGGGTGTTGGAGAGGGATGGGATTAAATTATGGGGAATCAAATACAAAATGGTAGTTGACACAGTTACTTTTTGCTGATGATAATGTGCTTATAGGAGATTCTAAAGGAAAGTTGCGAAGGTTAGTGGACGAGTTTGGGAGTGTGTGTAAAGGTAGAAAGTTGAAAGTGAACATTAATAAGAGTAAGGTGATGAGGGTATCAAATGATTTAGATAAAGAAAAATTGGATATCACATTGGAGAGAGGGAGTATGGAAGAAGTGAATGTTTTCAGATATTTGGGAGTTGACTTGTCAGCGGATGGGTTTATGAAAGAAGAGGTTAACCATAGAATTGATGAAGGAAAAAGGGTGAGTGGTGCTTTGAGGTATATGTGAAGACAAAAAATGTTATCTATGGAGGCAAAGAAGGGAATGTATGAAAATATAGTGGTACCAACACTCTTAAATGGGTGTGAAGCATTTGTTGTATATGCTGCAGCGAGGAGGTGGTTGGAGGCAGTGGAGATGTCCTGTCTAAGGGCAATGTGTGGTGTAAATATTATGCATAGAATTTGGAGTGTGGAAATTAGAAGGAGGTGTGGAGTTAATAAAAGTATTAGTCAGAGGGCTGAGGAGGGGTTGTTGAGGTGATTTGGTCATTTAGAGAGAATGGATCAAAGTAGAATGACATGGAGAGCAATAATGTTGGTAGAATTACCGACAGTACATAAAGTAAAAGGACACAAGTGCAGCTAATGTGGCATTTTATTGTGGTAACATTTCGCTCTCCATAATAAAATGTCACAATAGTTGCACTTGTGTCCTTTTACTTGACATGGAGAGTGTATAAATCCGTAGGGAAGGGAAGGCAGGGTAGGAGTCGTCCTCGAAAAGGTTGGAGGGAGGGGGTAAAGGAAGTTTTGTGGGCGAGGGGCTTGGACTTCCAGCAAGCATGTGTGAGCGTGTTAGACAGGAGTGAATGGAGACAAATGGTTTTTTGGGACCTGACGAGCTGTTGGAGTGTGAGCAGGGTAATATTTAGTGAAGGGATTCAGGGAAACTGGTTATTTTTATATAGCTGGACTTGAGTACTGGAAATGGGAAGCACAGTGCCTGCACTTCAAAGGAGGGATTTGGGATATTGGCAGTTTGGAGGGATATGTTATGTAATTTTATATATGCTTCTAAACTGTCGTATCTGGGTGCCTTTGCAAAGACAATGATTATGTATGAGTGAGGTGAAAGTGTTGAATGAAGATGAAAGTATTTTCTTTTTGGGGATTTTCTTTCCTTTTGGGTCAGCTTGCCTTGGTGGGAGATGACCGACTTGTTTAAAAAAAAAAAAAAAAATCTCCACAGGGAAGCGGAAAAGAATTTTTCCTCTGTAAATCCATGGATGTCATAAGAGGCAACTAAAATGCAGGGAGCAAGAGGCTAGTGACCCCTTCTTCTGTATACATTACTGAATTTGAAAAGAGAAACTTTTGTTTTTCTTTTTAGGCCGCCGTGCCTTGGTGGGATACAGCCAATTTGTTGAAAAGAAAATCTTAAAATCACTATTTGACATTGTTAGAAAGTGAGAGGAGCTTATCCCACACAAGGGAGATCTGAGGCGGCAGTGAGGCTCAGGGCTCCATACTTATCTAATACCAAATACCATACCTTGTGCTACATTGATACCCATCCAGTGCTACCTCACCTTCACACCACCCACACCAACTGCTCTTTCAGCCCCCCTCCCCCTCCCCTGTGAACACACCCTTGCTGTACATCCAACAACAACCCCCACCAATACCACCTGCCCCTATAAATCTCCCACAGTCACATGCCTTTACCCATACCATGTCTTAAACTCATTCCTGCTTCTTCCACCCATACTTCCTACCCCTATAATTTCCCCAGGGCCACACGCCTTCACACACACCATTCCAACCGGCAACCTCCACTCTTACAACCCCCCCTCAGCCACATGCCTTCACTCACACCATGCCAACCAACAATCCACCCATACAATTCCCCTCCTCTTCCTGGTCACATGCACCATTCCCTCACTGCCACATTCTTCCTATGTATGACCTCACCCACACCTTTCCTGACCTTTCACCCTAACTTACTATCTACATACTTAATCACTTAGTTACCTACCATGAGCATTACCACCAGCTGCACAATAGCCCACCCAGTCACCCATCAACCAATCACCACCCACACCAAGTCACTGATAAGCACACCTTTCATTCACGCCACTTCCCCATAGTTTCAAGCCCACATGGCTCCACACCTTGCTCATGCTTTCACTCACCACTTTCATATAGCTTCTAGTCCTCGTAGTCCCATGCCAACACCTTACCCATGTTTTCACGGCCCACACACCCTAACATGCCATCTACACTCCTTGTCATGTAGCCACCAACCACCCTAATTACTGCCCACACCAACTATACACTCACCCGCTCAGTCACCCATCATCCACACTGGGCCACCGACACTGCCATCCACATGATCACTGTCACACCACCTCATTGGTTTCAGCCTCCATCCATGCACCCCTCCAACACCCAGTATCCTTCACCTCCCAACACCAGCCTCCAGCTGTATTTATGTAAACGGAAAACGTCTTATGTACATGTATAGGGCTGGCTACTAATTGCAGTTTCAGGCATCCACAGTAGATCTTAGAATGTATCATGTGCAGATACGGGGTATGGGGGGGGAACTACTGTATATATTTGCCACATTATTACTGGATCTTTGTATACAAACATTGACTATATAGGTAAACAGCAAGTCATACAAGGCCATGTTAATGTTGTGTGCCTCTTTCAATTTCACATAATATAAAACGGAAAACCCTGAGAAAACATCTAGTTTGTGCAGACCAAAATTTCATAATTGCAAGTAGACTTCACAGAGTAAATATTGAGTTGTGTACAGGTATTGTGCAATAAATCACACTCGAGCAAATTCAATCAAGGCAGATTAGCAGAATCCCCGAGGACTAAGCGTATTAATCTACATAGTGTCTGTACTTTCAACTTGAGAGAAATTATATGTTCGTGTTGTAAATAGTATTAGATAACAGGACCATTAAGATAACTGAATTAATAACTGAGATAATTTCCTCTATTTTTGTAAAAGAAATTTTTCAAGTATATTATTATATACGTACCATTATTCACTGTACGATGCAGCAGATATAAAAGCAGTAGTGTACAGTAGTGCATTGTGTGTTAGTGTTAAGCAGCAGCCAGTTTATCACTGGACAGACAATATAGTCATCTGCTTATCATGGATGAATAGAAATCCATACAAATTTATTAGAAAGTCAGTCAGTCAGTAAGGGCAAAGGATTGGGCTAACCCAACACTGCAGTAGTTATCTTTAAGAGGCTAAGCTGCCACTCTTAACACTTCTTCAGTGGAGAGTAACAAGCAGTTATGTTGTTTTTTCCAAATTTGTGTACCCTAACTTTTCAACATGTAATAACATAATATGTAAGTAAATCAAATTTAGGGTGTTGGAATATTTTCTTAAGCTATTTCGTGCAGTATAACTTAAAGTTTTGCAAATAATTGATGATTTTCTTTTATACTGAAACAGAGCATAGAGTTGTCATAGGATTTTTACAATTAGTTGTTAAAGAAGTTTTTGCATGCTCATTCCTACAATATACTTGGTTAGTAACTATTGGCACTACAAATCCATAAAGGAAATTGCTTGGCTACTCAATAAATGTAACATATTTAACTTGTGTTGATGTGACTGTTTGTCTCAGTGGAAATTATGAAAAGGATATAAAAATACTAACCATAATTAACTCTAATCTTCAATGTGTAGATATAGAAATTGTGACTTGTGTCTCGTATTGCAGATGTTGGAGTGTGGCTTAAGTCTCTACGTCTGCACAAATACTCACCATTGCTCTGTAGTTTAACTTATGATGAGCTGCTGACCTTAGATGAGGCAACGCTGGAAAGTCAGGGAGTTACCAAAGGAGCACGGCACAAAATTGTCCTGTCTATTAATAAGCTAAAGGAACGCCACAAGCAATTAGTTCAAATTGAAAAGGTAAATGACTGAACCTGATTTTTGTTAGGTAGACTATTGCATAGGGCAATACAGTATTAATAGAGAAATAAACTCAGCCATGGGATTGCTTCCCATTATTTGTGAATAATAATTTTGAAAACTCAGCATAAATTTGTATGTTAGAAATAAGGCATTTACTGTAAATGAATGGTTCAGAGAACCGACAAGTTGATAAATTAGACACATGTGCAACACTTGGGTATCTTTAATGAGGAAATGTTTTGCCACACAGTGGCTTCATCAGTCCATACAAAGGAGAATGGTGAAGAACAGGAGGAGATTTTGAGGTAATCAGTCCTCAACTGAGAGTTGATGTGGTTAGTCCATCAGTTTGATGGACTGACCACATCGACTCAGGCTGAGGGACTGATTACCTCAAACTACTCCTGTTCTTTACCATTCTCTTTTGTATGGACTGATGAAGCCACTGTGTGGTGAAACGTTTCCTCATTAAAGATTCCCAAGTGTTGCACATGTGTCTAATTTATCAATGCATTTACTGTTTGTTATTGCTATTGTTGCAGAGATATCTGTGCTTTATCATGGCCACATGATTAAGCTCAGTGTTCTTTAACCCTTTGACTGTCGCAGGCCCCTTTCTGAAACTGTCATTGTATGTCGCAAAATATTCGAAAAAAAATTTTTATTTTTTTCTTATGAAAATGTTAGGATTATTTTACTGAGTGTTTTAAGCCTAAAAAAAATTTTTTGCCATCAGTACTTACCGAGGTAAATGTAGACAGCCTGTACTGTCAGAACACACAGCCTAGCCGTCTGCTCTGACTAGTTCATATTTCGCGGCATTTAGGTGCTGCCCTCTGTAGGCTCACTTAGGTCAGTGGGAGGCTCAGCCCATCCACTCTCACTCCTAGGCCGACCGACTTGAGAGAGACAAGTGCTTCCCCTCCACGGATTGGCTTGCGGTCACTCCCTCACACTGCCCGTTGTGTACTCACTCCTATCCAATTAAAGCCAAACTAGTCCACGGCCGTATCATTGCTACCTACGCTACCTTCATCGGCACAAAACCGCTGTTCAACAGCAAGAACAGCAATAACATATAGAGGCGCAAAGTTGGCAGAAAGTGAGCTGCATACGGCAACAGCAGCGACTGCCGCCCACCCAGTATTCTTTTATTTACTTTAATTCAAAAGTTTCTTGTATTTTCCAATTTTTCTTTTCCAAGTAACTTATGTGGCCTGTGAGACCATAGTAAGGTGCATTGTTCAAATATGCACTCATTGTTTACAACACAATAACTGAACAAACTTTATCACTATTAGTTTGTGTATAAAATTTGTTTACACAAACAAACAATACAAAACATTGTTTATTATTATTGTTCCATAATATATATATACATATGTACAGTCACTGAACACGTTCCTAGAACTGCTGCAGCTTGTGGAACCCTTTGAAACATGGGTATATGCAGAGTTGCACTTGACACTCCTCACACATAAAACGAGTGTCTCTGTGTGTTTGTGGGCGTTTTGTGGTATGTGCACATACAAAACACCTCTTTTGAACATTTTTCTTGGAAGCAGTAGGAGGCAGTAGTATGGGGTAGTGATCACCAGGCCTGAAACGAGATGGCGTGTGTTGGTAATTTCGTGGGCGCTGGTCTATTGCAGGTGTTGCTCCCTGGTACTTGGCGATTATTTGTCTGATGACTGACAAACAAAATTCACCATATTTTGGTGTTTTGTTGGTCCTCAACTTGTATATGTTATAAGCATTTAGCATGGAGATATCAACAAGATGGAAGAAAAGTTTTATATACCACTATAACTCTTGCGTACACAATCAGCAAACCCAATCTGCATGTCACATTTGTCCACTAAGTGCATATTGAGGTTGTAGTCCATGACAGCTGCAGGCTTTAGAATGTGCCATTTCGTTTTGGTGAACTGATGTCAACAATGTGACGTCACGTTTGGCATGCCACCGAAATGCCATGATGTCATTGGCAGCAAAGGTTTGCACCTCACCTCTGTGAGTGCCAGTGTTGAACCTTGGCATATATTTACGATTACCACGCACTGTGCCACACATGTCTGTCAAGTTCACTCGCAAGAAATCACTGAGTAAGGGGCTTGTGTACCAGTTATCAGCAAATAACATATGCCCTTTACCAAGATATGGTTCCATCATTGTTCTAACCACATCACCAGAGATACCCAATAACTTCATGGTATCTCTCAAAGTATTACTGCCAGTGTACACAATGATATCCAAAACTAGACCACTTCTGCAATCACACAGTACAAATAACTTTATACCAAAGCGTTTCCTCTTACTTGGTATATATTGCTTGAATGAGAGTCTTCCTTTTAATAAAATCAAAGACTCGTCAATAACAAGCTTCCTGAAGGGATAAAAATACATGCAGCACTTTTGTTTCATGTACATAGGCACATTTCTGATCTTATATAACCTGTCGCTTCTGTCAGGCCTGGTTTTGTCTGAAAAGTGTAACATACGTAACAGTATCAAGAAACGATTGACACCTATAATGTCACTAAAACCTGGAGCTGAAATCAGGCGTTCTGTTGCCCAGTATGTGGTGACAGTGTGCTTATACACATGTGGCATAAGCATTATTGTGGCCAAAAACAGGTACATCTCTGCTACAGTTGTGTCCTTCCACTGGTGTAGCCGTGAGCTTGGTGAGAGAATTGTATTTGCCATGGTGTACTCATAGTATGTGTTGGTTTCCCTGACAATGATGTCCATCAGGGGTTCATCGTAGAATAACTCAAAGCATTCCAGTTCACTAGCATTGTTCCCAAGTGGACATGATGGCTTTATTCCACTTTGTGTTTCATCAAAGTCATGGGGACTGGGAACAAGCTCGTCACCTTCCTGCCAATCCCAGATGCTGTCTGCTGGTGGGTTCCGGATATTGAAACGTGGTTGTGGTTGTGCAGGTTGTGGTTGTGTAGGTTGTGGGAGTGTGGGGTTGGGTGAGGCTGGTTGTTGTTGTGCAGAGTCAGCAGCATGGGTAGTAGCGTGGCCCGCTGCTGGTGCCACATGGGTCGTGCCACCATCACTATCACCACCACTGCCTGCTGCCTCACTCACATCATTCATACCCATCGTAACAATATCGTCATCTTCACTATCAGGTCGTGGTGTAGGGTCACGGGATGTGCTCCCAGAGTTACTCCTTCCCCTTGGAACAGCATATGACACACTACCAGACCGCATGCTACGTCATACATACTGCCGCTTCACTGGGGAATATTCACCCTCACTGTCACAACTAGAACTGCTATCAGTAACCTTGAAATCACTATCACTATCATGTTCACTGCTAACATCTGGGTCTTGTACACGGCCAAATAGTTTCCACTTTTGTCCTGGTACAGGTGAACGTGAGCGTGAATGAGCCGGCCCAGCACCAGAGGTGGAAGGTCGTGTGTCATCTGGGTTTTCATCACTAATTACGTCATCCTGGGCACTTTTTTCGGTCACACTCGCTTGAAAACCATGGAATTCACTGTCACTGACACTTCCATCGCTGTTAGAGCTATCACTTGGGAACAAAAGACCTCCAATCCGCCGAGGAGTGAGGTACTTCCTACTGTGAGGCATGGTGAAAATGGACTACCAAGATGGGGATTCCACAATGCACCACTGAGTCCCAGATTTTTTTCACAGGGTGCACACCCACCACTGAAACCCATTCTGTCTCATGTAGGCCTACCAGGCCTTTCCCGCTTGATTTGAAGCCACTAGAATTTATGCGTATAGACACGTCAGAAGCAGTGGCGCTTAAGACGTATTTATATGACGTAAACAGTCAAGGGTTAAACTAGATTTTAGCAGTGTTAGAATAGGGGTTTTTGCCGATTATATAGCTTTTTTTATATTTTTGTTACAGCTTTTAATTGTGAAAATAATAATTTCCAAAGTATATTTCTAACCTACAGGAAGTGATGAATGGTGGTCACTTATTATCTTGCCTCAACGAACTCAAATCAATAATCCTTACCCCGTTCCCACCTTATGAGCCTCCAAGTGATTCCTCTCAACCCACTCAGCAAAATCTGCAGAAGCAGCCTCCCATCTTGTCTCCTCCTGAAGCAGCATCCACACCACCAGCCTCCACAATGTCTTCCTCCACTTCAAATTCCACTCTCTCTCCGTCTTGCTCTACTTCCTCCACTTCGACCACCACTGCCTCCTCTGCCTCCTCGTTATCAGCTTCCACTTCTTCATCTGCCTGTTCTTTGAGAGGGGAAGACAGAGAACTTCTGAAAGATGATAGAGTTGAAGCACCAAGAACTTCTCTAGAGGCAGATAGTGGCAGCACCATCCCAGAAGATGATCTGCCTTCTCAGTTTACACGGGTCATGGGCAAAGGTGAGTCAGATTTATTCTTATGGCTAATGTATTTGTTTGTTACTGACTCTTCAAATAAGATTGCCTTGATGTTGATGTTCTTTTGATCCAAGATACATTGGAACTACCCATTCCCTTGAATCAAACATGATTACCTCTCATTTTCCAGGTACTGCATGACCCATGTTACGCCGAGAGGCAGTTGTGATATTTTTTTTTTTTTCAACAAACCGGCCATATCCCACCAAGGCAGGGTGGCCCAAAAAGATAAAGGAAAGTTTCTCATTTTAAATTTAGTAATTTATACAGGAGAAGGGGTTACTAGCTCCTTGCTCCCAGCATTTTAGTCGCCTCTTACAACACGCATGGCTTACAGAGGAAGAATTCTGTTCCACTTCCCCATGGAGAAGTTGTGATATATATGTCTTTCATATGTGTTCATCTTTCTAATATTACATTGCTATTACTCTCGTTTTAGCATTTAACCCATAAACGGTCCAAACGTATATATACATTTTTACTGCTAGTGCTCCAAACATATATATACGTTTTATTTGTCATACATTCAACATTGCCACAATAAGCCTGAGTCGCCTAGACATGAGAGAATGGGTGTGCGCCATATTAAAATAATTGGGGGTGCCTGGGTACCATATGCTCTTTTTTCCTATTAAAAAAAAAAAATTCTCAAAAAATTTGGGGCACCACACGAGAGAAAGTATATAGTATACGTTTGGACTGTTTACGGAATAACGATGGTAATCGCAATGTAATATTAGGAAGATGAACAAATATGAAAGATATATATATCACAACTGCCTCTCGGCGTAACAATCCTGGCAAGGTCGCCAAATCGCAATGTAATATTAAAAAGATGAACAAATATGAAAGCCATATACTACATGTATATCACAACTGCCTCTTGGCATAACAACCCCTAAATATTTATTTTTAGCACACTGGCTCTCTCTCCCATAGAAGAGGGGTGTTCCCCTCCACATCCCCATAACCATCATTCGTTCAATATTGTCTTGCCAAAAGTATGCAGATATCACAGTTGAAATTATCTTCCAACGTGATACATCTTTACCCACCTCCTTCTGAGTGCAGGCACTGTACTTCTGATCCCCAGGACTGAAGTCTAGCTAACCAATTTCTCTGATTCCCTTTATAAATGTTGATTGGCTAAAACCATAAAAGCCACTTATCTCCTTTCACTTTGATCTTAAATAACTGCTAGATGCTTCCAGCAATTTTGTGTAGAAGGAACTGTAGTGATTTGAAAGCACAGGTGATGTACATACATTACTCCTCTAAGAACTGTGGACTGGAGATTCTGAAGGCTCTGACAAAGAAGTCTGTGACAATCCCTCTTTGTCTTAGTGTTGTGGTGGGAGTAATAGTGTCAGAGCTCATATTTGTAAGTAGGTTTATGGTAAAACTGGAGTGAGTGTTTTCACCTGTGTGTATGTATTAACATATCTAGAGAAAGGCAGATATACACAGGGGTGAAAGCAGACTCTCATTCAGTATTTATTGTAAACCTATTTACAAAAATTATCTTTTACATTTTTACTCTCAGCACAGTGTCAAAACGAACATGAGGCTAGTCATAGACCTCTTCAGTCTTCAGTCCATCACTTTCAGTACATCACTCCTGTTTTTAGTACATTACCGTTCCCCTGCACTCTATACTAGATTACAAGAAGCATGCCACAGATGTATTCTACAGAATGAACATCAACACAGAAGCAAAGGAAGTCACCAGATACGTCATCATTTTGCCAGTCAGCACTGTGGCTAAACTCTTTAGCAATCAGCCCATCAAAATAATCACCAACTCCTCATCTTTAATGAAAAACTTGATGTAGACACACAAGAGAATCTTCAACCACCACATGAATATACAGTTTACCATGTGTGGGATGCAACAGGAAGTATGTGATAAACTCTTCTAGATCGCTAAGTATTAGAGGTCATGAACACAGAAACACCTGCAGATGGAATGATTGTAACAATGCCTGTGTACAGCTCAGGGTTAAATGAAACACTTACGAAAGTTTGAGACATGACTAGTCATTCGATAGAACAACTGACAATGGCAGAAGTTGCTTGAAGTTGCTTCACTTGCCACAACTGACTCGGTCCCACAGAGGTCTGGGAGCTTCAGCATTTTCAGACTTATAGCTAAGAGATTGTTACCCATGTTAGGATCCTCCATCACATGAACAAACAGTGAACATGGAGAAGCTATGCAGCAGGCTTACGAAGCCATGACAGGCAGGTCCCACTCATTCAGGTGCAACCTGATGCTTCTACCTCACCTCACCCTTGCTTCTGGTCACCTGCACCTCCTGCTTCACCTCACCCTTGCTTTTGGTCACCTGCACCTCCTGCTTCACCTCACCCTTGCTACTGGTCACCTGCACTGTCTACTGTACAGCTGCTTGTTTTAGCTTGCTCTGTATTAGAATTGATGAAGCCACTTGTGGCAAAACATATCCTTTAATAAATGTTCTGAACAGTACAGAAGTGTCCTTTTTCCCTAGAAGTTGTATTAATTTTAGAGGATGTATAAAAGAAAAAAAGAAAAGTGAACATAAAAAAGAACAAGATGATGAATGAGAGTGACAGAGTCTAGTTATTTAAAGATTGAATATCAGATTGGAGGGAAGGAGTATGGAAGAAGTAAATATATTTAAATCCTAAGCAGTATTTGAAAGTGGACCAGCAGACAGAATTATGGAGACTCTGGAAGTAACCCAAAACACAGATGTGATGTACACGGATTTTTGCAAAGGTGTTGGACAGATACGATCATGGGGGAATATTGTACACAAAATGAGGGCTATAGGCAGACAGATATGAACACTCACCACAGTTTTTTATCATTTGTGGATGACATCACAGTAGAAGACATGAAAAAATAGCAGGAAGATATAAGTATGGTTTTTCAGTGGGTAGTAGAAAACATGATATTCACTGGTGACAAGTTGCAGCTGGTTAGATATGGAAAGAATAATTTACTCGGAAGGGATACTGTATACAAAACCCAAGAGGGTCATCAAATAGAATGAAAATACATGAAAAACCTGAGAGTAAGCATGTTGGCTGATCTTTCTTTTGAAGAGCACAATAACCAGACAAATGCCACAATAGCCAGGAAAATGATAGGGTGGTTAATGAAAAATTTCAGAAGAGAGGAAATTGTACCAGTAGTGATGCTATTCAAATCACCTGTGTTCTCTTGTTTAGAATAATGTTCAGTGTTGATGGCTTTGTAAATGGCAGGCAAATTAGCAGCTGAAACAGATAGAGATCAGTTTTGGCCCCCATAAAGCCAATAAGGCTGGAGTGGAGAAGAGAGAGAGAGAATGATAATATATACATGGAAAGTACTTTAGGGCCTGGTCCCAAATCTGCTTACTGCCATAGCATACTGGAGTAGGAGATATGGGAGGCAGTGTACAAGAAACTGGGTGGAGGGCAGGGGCACTGTTGGCACAATAAGAAAACATTATATTAACATCCATTATCCCAGAGAATTAAGCATTCTACCAGAAGATATCAGAAACACTGTTAGCAGGACTTGAGTTCTGGAGGTGGGAAGGGCAGTGCCTGCACTCTGAAGATGTGCAGATGTTTTAGAGTGAAGCTCTGTATGAATTGTGATGTCTACACACTTCTGACAAGGCAGCTCTTGATTAAATAATGGTAATTGTTTCAGTTTCTTAGTCATCCTACCATGGTGGAAGGCAGAAACAACAAACAATTAATGTATGCACCCATAAAAATACAGAGCATCTTTACTGATTTTAGAAAATTACAGTTTACATGCAAGTACAGTAGCACTTAATGATTCAAGAAATGCAATGTGCAAATAATGCAGTTTAAAGTCTGTGATTGCTCAAGGCCACCAGGTATGGTGAGAAACAAAAGACATATTGCTAATAGTCTACCTGGGGAATGTTCCAGGGAACACCTTTTCCTGTGGCCTGATCATCCAGGTTGTTGGTGCTAGCTGCATCCAGTTCAGAGTATGCACCACAGCCCAGCTGATCAGGAACAGACTAGAGAAAAATTTATTCAGTTCCCTCTAGAAGACAGCCAGGGGTTTGTTGGTAATTCCTCCTTTGTATGAAGGAAAGTTGTTAGATAATCTTGGTCCCTGCCCCCTTAATGAGTTATCTTTTAGTTGCTCATGGCACTGGTGTAGAGAACACTGTTATTGGACACCATTTTGCTGTGTAAGAATGTAATACACACCTAGAGTGAGCTTTTTATAAACACTGTTTTGCTCTTAATACCTATGAATTTGATAAAACCTTAATGAGAATAAGAACACTCAATTGGCTGTGGGCATTTTAAATGCCTAGTTTGTTGGCTATTGGCCATTTACTACATTTTTCACTCTGTAGAGTTTTATCTACCTATTGACTTGATAAAGTTCTGCATTGAGTAAAATGTCATCACAATTCAAGCTTATTCTGCACCTGTGTCTATCTTCATTACAAGTGCGGTGAGCTTAAGTGATTACAATTTTATATACGGTTGACCATCAGTTAACATGGTAATTGCATTCCTGAAAATAGAGTGTAATAAAAAAAATTGTGTAAAATGAACTGAAAGTCATGTGGAAAAATAGTATTACACTTAATACGCCTCTCCCAGAAAACATGAATTGTCTCTAAATTTTTAAAAACAATGATAATACCAGGTAATGCAATTGTAGGTCAGTGTAATGATGTGTTATAGTTAATACAATACTTATAGCTACAAAGGTTATATAAATAATATTTCTTACCTTAAATTCTAGTTTGCTGGTGTATGTCTATGATTTTAAAAGGAATGAGAAGGGATGGTGTAGCCCTACTGGGCTGATGTGGAAGGTTGTAAATTGTTGGCCGAGATGGATAGCTGAGAATTTTGAACTGATGTCTGTTTTACCCTGTAGGACTCATACAGCTGACAGAAAAGCATCATCAGCTGCACAAGACCCTGTTTCAGATTGATGCTTCTAGAATTGTCAGGGACTTCTTCAGTGAAAAAGTCTGCAGCTTTACCAATAATATGGAACTGCTCACATAGCTGTTGCAATGTTAACTCTTATTCTTCAGGTTCTTTTTCCTCATCTTTGTCTGTTATCATCCTTGTATTTGTGTACTGAGCTCTTCCAACATCTTCTCTGGACTTCTTTATTCTTCATCATGTTCTAACAGTTCATTCACATTTTTCTGCATAGCTTCAATTTCAAAGCCCTCACGTGGCAATATGCTTGTCAGCCGAACAATTTCTTGCACCTGGCTCTTAAGTGAGGGAAAACCTGTGAAAATATACACATTTCAGTAATAATTTTTGCAGCCTGCATTTAATGCTGATTAGGGGCATTTTTGACATAGCTGATGGCATCTGCAATGTTAAATTTATGCCAGAAGGCTGGCACTCCAAGCTCAGTCAGCACATATTGTTACAAGTTTCCACATTACTTTTCATGTGTAGGTTTCACGTGTCTTAAAACATGACCTTGGGAATAAAGTGATACAGTGAAACCCTGGTATTCGTCTGGTTTGGTTATTGTACAGTTCAGTTTTCGACCACTTTTTTCGGCGAAATTTTCCCCGTTTTCGTACATCTGCTCAGAAATCGTCTGTACCAGATGCACCCGCCTGCCCGCGGGACGCGACCACTCGTGTGTTTGTGACTCCGTTTGCCTTTGTTACTCATAGAGGGTGGTAGTGATGATGGTAGAGGGTGGTAGTGGTTGTGATGGTGGTAGAGGGTGGTAGTGAAGATGGTAGTGATGGTTGTAGAGGTTGGCAGTGATGGTGGTGGAGGGTGGTAGTGATGGTGGTAGAAGGTGGTAGTGATAGTGGTAGAGGGTGGTAGTGATGGTAGTAAAGGGTGGTAGTGATGGTGGTAGAGGATGGTAGTGGTTGTGATGGTGGTAGTGATTGTGGTAGAGGGTGGCAGTGATGGTGGTAGAGATAACTTGTCCTCCCTCTTCCCTCCTTGCCGTCTTCATTAAAGGAAAACGTGATTTAAATGTTCATTTATATTTATCCATTTCATTAGTGCTTTATATTTATTTCTCATTGTTTTCTGTATGTAAAACTATAGTTGTTCTCTATAAAACGTATTTTTTGTTAATATTTTTGGGTGTCTGGAATAGATTAATTGGATTTCATTATTTCTTATTGGAAATATTACTTTATTTTTTGTACAAATCGGTTTTCGGCTGACCTTCTGGAACAGATTAAAGACAAAAACTGGGTCAATAAATACAGTAATTCATCTGCTGATTGGTTTGACCTCCAAATAGCTGGTAAGGTGGTTTTATCAATACCTTTCAAAGCACAGGGAGTCTTGGGCTTACACTTAAATTGCCTGATGCATAACTACAAAGTATCAAGTTGAAATGATCCATTGCACCACTTGTAAGCTTACCCAGGATCTCAGTTTTCTTCATAACACCAAGACTTTCACGTTTATACTTCTTTGCACTAATAGGATCACTCTCATTCTTTTTGGGTGTCTAGGTTTCTATCCAGAGATGAAAAAGGAAATTGATTCACTAACACAAGTCAAGTATGGTACTGGGCACATACAAACAGAGCACTGAGGCAAGGGAGGTTGTGTACATTATGTAGGCCCCCCCTTTGAGACAATGGACGGAAGAGAAAAGAACGCGTTGCATGCCACATTTTCCCCTACATGTACTCCGTCATGTAAACTGATTAATACAGCGAGTTCACCAAAAATATACCTACCACAATTTTGCACCCACCATAATGTAAAGAAAGTGTTAACAGACCTCGTGTTAACTGACGGTCTACTGTTTACAGTATAATCCATCATGAAAAGACACTTGTTATTGTTAATAATATGCCAGGAGCAAGGGGCTAGTAAGCTCTTTTCCTGTATAAATTACGAAATTTAAAATGAAAAACTTGTTTTTCTTTTTGGGCCACCCTGCCTAGGTAGGATTTGGCTGATGAAATTAAGACACATGTGCAACATCTGGGTATCTTTATTGTAGACGTTTTGCCATCCAGTGGCTTTATCAAAACAAATTCTAGGACATAGCTTGAAGACAGTAGGACTATATACAGAAGATGAGGTAATCAGTCCCTCAACCTAGGAGTAGGTGCGAAGAGCACCATAGTCGTGGACTCTTCCCTCCCGCACCCACTTTCCTGTAACCACAAACTTCTGCTGAACACTAACACTAACTCAAGTTGTGTGGTTAATAAGTAGAGAACTCATTACAGTTTTGTGAATGATTTTTTTTTATTTCTATGATAATTTCTTAATTTCTTATTTTTTTCCTTGCAGGGTAGTGTTTGAGAGAGTATAAATTTCCACCACTTTGTTTCAGTATGTACGCAGCTGCTGGTTAGTGTAAGACCAGAAGATGAGTGTGTTACTGCTTTCTTAGGATTAGTAGAGAAATGTGTCAACCACGAGGCATTTACCCCAACTCAAGCACGCAGATTACACTCTTGGAAGCAACAGATTATCCGTGTTTGGCATCCTCTTCCACCTAAAACTAAAGATAGCCGCCACAATCGCAGGTATATTTTCTTTGCTTCAAGTTGCATTTTTGATTGATGTAGTTCATGAAAATTTTGTGTATTATCATTTTGGTAGTTTTTAATTCTTTTCATGGTAGTCATATTTAAGTTTCAATTGCACTCCCATTTTCCTTTTGGGCTGCACATAATATCTAACACTATTTATAAATAGAGAAAAAACTGGATATCGTTAGTCCAGATGAGGCATGCACATGCATAACAAATGAGGTATGTGGTCAGAAATTAGAATCCCAAGTACAGAAGAACACAGATGAAACAGGAATGTTGATCCATATAAGAGGAACACCAGAAATGTACCTATAGTAAGTTAGAGAAAGTAGTGAAACAATGAAAATAAATGTAGAGCAAGGTAAACAAGTTGACCAAAAAAAAAAAAAATGCAGTTAACAAGACTGAAAATGTCACAGAAAAAGATAAAACAAATGAAATGCATAGGTACTTTGTCAGGGAAATTTTCAGCTTTGTAATAAGGTGTAAATACCTGCACATCAGAAAGTATTCCAACATGTTGACAAAGGAAAAGTTTGCTTTGATGAAAAAGTGCAGATATTTTCACCCAGGATGTGTGAATCATTATCATTAACCAGTGTTACATTAGAGTTGTACAAGGTTCTGTGGGGAAATATTGCAGATACAGAACAGGAGCGAGGAAGTTCTTCAGTAAGAAGAGCCACATACAATACTTTTCATACATTTTTAAATGTTCAAGAGCCACAGAAAATGTTATTTTAAAATTGTATTAATAAATAATAAAAATACAACTTTAGTAGTCCTACTTACCAAAGCAGAATATGTTCAATCTGTTTTTGAAGACTTTGAGTCTTCATTTTGGCAGTTAATAATTTAAAATCTGGCTGGTAGGATGTCAGAGCTGTTCAAAGAAGCTCAGTGAGGTGGCTGTTAGTGAGGATAGCACAAAGATTTAACTTGATAAATTTCATTACAGAGAAGAGAGATTCACAGCATTAAGTTGTCCCAAAAACAGATAGTAGTCAGAAGCCAGTTTTCTGAAGATTGGGGTACTTTGCTTCTGGGATTTGTTTCAAAAAGTCAGTTAGAGATGAGCTTTTATGTACTAGCTTCAAACCCACATCTTCCCACAGCTCAGTAAACTCCGTTTGTATTGAAGCAACTCCCGAGGCTAAAGGTGCAACAGCAGGATGTCCATCGTTGATGACATCAATCACTAAAGGATTCACAAGAAATTCAAAATATGGCTTTAACTTTTTTAGTTTCTCAAATCTGTTCTTAAAATCATTATAAAGTGCTTCAAAGTTTCCTTCATATTGTTTCAATTTTCTGTCTTTAATTTCAGCATCAGGAAAAGCAGTTATTCATAATTTAAGGTTGGAAAAGTAGTTAAATTTCTTTGTTTTATTTTGAAAACTGAAAACTGATTGGAAAAGTTCTGTAATAACTTTGTTCCTTCCTTGAAGTTCCAGATTTAAATATTGGAAGTGTTGCATTACATCTGTAATGAACATCAGACCTGTACCCATTCGTAATCTTCTAGTTGTGGGTATTTCTTTTTCTTTTCTTTCATGAAAGCAATGATTGGTTCAAAAAGGCAACAAACTTATTCAGAAGATTGGTAGTTGATAGCCATCTTACAATACAGTAGAATTAAAGGTCACTTGGCTTTTCTTCAAACACCAGCTCCTCAATAAAGTTTCTTAACTCCTTGACTTTCGCAACCCCAAATTCTGAGGTGTCTCCTGGTGTTGCAAAATCCCCCCCCCTTATTTTTTTTTTTTTCTCATGAAATGATAGAGAATCCTTTCCCGATTGTAATGACACCAAAAGAACGAAATTTGATGGAAAACTGACAGAATTACGCTCTCGCGAAGTTAGCGACCTCGGCGATATTTACGAATCTGATTTCGCCCGCTTTGAGCCCTATTTTCGGCTAATTCCATTGTTCCATTTGACCAAACTCATAGCTATTTCTTTAGAACTCCATTTTTTCTATCAATTGAGTACAAGAAACTGCCCATTTACCGATTTCAACTACCCAATAACGTGGTCAGAAATTTACAATTTGGCCAATTTCACGAAAATTAAAAAATATGACAATTTCAAAATAGGGTCTAGAATGAACAAAGCAGACATTCCTGGCTTTAAAATAACATTTTCTTTGCTCATCAGTCACATCTCCAGGCCCCTCTGATATTACTCTTGCTTTCTATTTTGAATTTTTATTCAAACAAAGAATAGAAGATTTACTGTTATGCAGACTACTGCAATATTGTAATAATTTTATAAATAACATCAACCCATTCATGACTGCATATTAGAATGACTAGTTGGACATATATTAGAAAATGACATCATTTGTTTACGTTTGAACATTGGCAAAAATCAAACATTTCCCCTACTTCGAGCTCCATTTCAAGGCTCTTTTCATAGTAAACCAGTCAAAATCACCTCTATTTCTATAATATGTTTTACATTCTATCAAATGAGACCAACAAAACGAAAATACAACAATAAATCTTTTCTTTCAACACACCGGCCGTATCCCACTGAGGCGGGGTGGCCCAAAAGGAAAAACGAAAGTTTCTCCTTTTACATTTAGTAATATATACAGGAGAAGGGGTTACTAGCCCCTTGCTCCCGGCATTTTAGTCGCCTCTTACAACATGCATGGCTTACGGAGGAAGAATTCTGTTCCACTTCCCCATGGAGATAAGAGGAAATAAACAAGAATAAGAACTAATAAGAAAATAGAAGAAAACCCAGAGGGGTGTGTATATATGTGTTTGTACATGTATGTGTAGTGTGACCTAAGTGTAAGTAGAAGTAGCAAGACGTACCTGAAATCTTGCATGTTCATGAGACAGAAAAAAGGACACCAGCAATCCTACCATCATGTAAAACAATTACACAACCATAAATACTATACGAAAATAGACCACAAAGTCAGCATTTTAATTAAAAAAAATGGCCGGAGTTTTTTTTTTCTCATGCACTGCGTGCTACAGGATTTTTTTAATATGGTGCACACTGACCACACAAACCTATTCTCTCATATGTGGGCCTACCTTACGGTGGCTCGTAAGACGTATATATACGACCAAAACAGTCAAAGGGTTAATTCACGGTGTGTTTTTGCACTTGTCTGAATGACATCATTGAACTTGAAGTGTTTGCTTACTAAATGTTCAAGGTGGATGATACAGTGAATAAAGAAACATTCACGATAGTTAAGATTATGTGTCAGTTGCCTAACTATGCCAGTATTTTGGCCTACTGTAGCTGGTGCTCCGTGTGTTGCAATGCTAACAAGTTTATGCAGTGGTAGTTTGTCATTTAATTAAGCTCTGTTAAGTACATTTTTGAAGTCAGTACCTTTTGTGGTTTCCTTTAAGCTTTTCAGGTCTAAGAATTCTCCTTTTACAGCTCCATTGTTTGTAGCATAGCAAACAAATACAGTGGCACCTCGAGTTTCCAACAGCTCCCAACTCGAACAATTATTTAAGTGTATTTTTGTGGGTCTGAAACGGACTAATCTAATTTACATCATTCCTTATGGGAACAAATTCGTTCGGTATCAGCACTCGAACAGCCTTCTGGAACAAATTAAGTTTGTAACTCGAGGTACCACTGTATAGCTAGCTGAGGAATACGTTGAATGTCTGTAGATTCATTCAGTGCTAAGATGAAAGCAATGCAGCTTTTCAGGTTACTCTGCAGTGAACATATGATTGTAGAACTAATTTCAGAAATACCATACAGGAGAAGGGGTTATTAGCCCCTTGCTCCCGGCATTTTAGTCGCCTCTTATGACACATATGGGTTACGGAGGAAGAATTCTGTTCCACTTCCCTATGGAGATAAGAGGAAAGAAACAAGAAGAAGAACTAGTAAAGAAATAAAAGAAAACCCAGAGGGGGTGCACGTGTTTTTTTTTTTTTTTTTAAACAAGTCAGCCGTCTCCCACCGAGGCAGGGTGACCCAAAAAGAAAGAAAATCCCCAAAAAGAAAATACTTTCATCATCATTCAACACTTTCACTTCACTCATACATAATCACTGTTTTTGCAGAAGCACCCGGTTACAACAGTTTAGAAGCATTTTTTTTTTCTTCAACACGCTGGCCGTATCCCACCAAGGCAGGGTGGCCCAAAAAGAAAAAAGAAAGTTTCTCTTTTTAAATTTAGTAATTTATACAGAAGGGGTTACTAGGCCCTTGCTCCCAGCATTTTAGTCCCCTCTTACAACACGCATGGCTTACGGAGGAAGAATTCTGTTCCACTTCCCCATGGAGATAAGAGGAAATAAAGAACAAGAACTAGAAAGAAAATAGAAGAAAACCCAGAGGGGTGTGTGTGTATATATATGCTTGTACTTGTATGTGTAGTGTGACCTAAGTGTAAGCAGAAGTAGCAAGACATACCTGAGATCTTGCATGTTTAAGAGACAGAAAAAAGACACCAGCAATCCTACCATCATGTAAAACAATTACAGGATTCCATTTTCCACTCGCTTGGCAGAATGGTAGTACCTCCCTGGGGGGTTGCTGTCTACCAATCTACTACCTACTTTAGAAGCATATGTAAAGATATATAACATATCCCTCCAAACTGCCAATATCTCAAACCCCTCCTTTAAAGTGCAGGCATTGTACTTCCCATTTCCATACTCAATTTCGGCTATATAAAAATAACCCGTTTCCCTGAATCCCTTCACTAAATATTACCCTGCTTACACTCCAACAGCTCGTCAGATCCCAAAAACCATTCGTCTCCATTTACTCCTATCTAACATGTTCACGCACGCTTGCTGGAAGTCCAAGCCTCTCGCCCGCCCACAAAACCTCCTTTACCCCACTCTCCAACCTTTTTGAGGACGACCCCTACCGCTCCTTTCTTTTTCTACAGATTTATATGCTCTCCATGTCATTCTACTTTGATCCATTCTCTCTAAATGACCAAACCACCTCAACAACCCCTCTTCAGCCCTCTGACTAATACTTTTATT